TAAAGTAGCATATGGAACATATTTTCTGCCTCATTCTGTGACAAGAAGCCTCATCAGATCACAAAAGGAAGCATTTGACTGGTGTTGTGGAGTAAAAAGGTTATAATGTTCTCTTTTGTTGGACAACAGGTTTAGAAATGTGAATACAAGGGAGGTTTAGCTTTAGGCATTTTAATTTAAGCATGTTTAGCTTAGTTAACGGAAGGCTACCTGCTGCCATCAGAGCAAGTGTAATTACTGCATTACTCCTCCTCGAATGCTCTCATTTTCCGAGTTGTGCTTTTAAGTCGGAATGTGAAAACAACATGGACAGTCGTTACTACAAAGATGTGTTGGATTTGTATTATTAGACCTTTATGACTTGAGTTCACGTGCATTTTCTCAGTCGGGAAATTATTTTGGACGTGCGGTGCTGCGATGATGTTTCTTACGTCCGTTTCGGAGAACCAGAGGACAAATATTTAAATAGATCGCTCAGGCATGGCACCGAAATCTGCGTTCGGATTCGGTTCTAGTACATACCGGTTACATAGGTACCGGTGCCATATTGGTACCGGGTTTCGGTACACAACCCTACCTGAAACGCGTCAATTTTTACAAAGCTCATCGTTCTAAAAAAGCGAGGTGTGCTCTGATTGGCCAGCTATCCAGTGTGTTGTGATTGGCTGAATACCTCAAGAATGTGACGGAAATGTTACGCCCCTTAACATACTGTGATGCCATCTCCCAGCAGGACGAGACTCAGTCCAGCTGCTCTGCTCGTGCACATCCCATCATCGGTTCTCTTTTTGCAGTTCAGTCAATGTACTGTTAGGAGTAACTGAATAACTCGGGATATTGGTTTATTTCGCGTCAGAGGGAGTGTCAGGCACGTTTATAAACCGAATAATTTAAGTAATTTGTGGATTAGTGCATACTGGAGACGCAAACGGTTTCAAACGATTCAGTTCGATTTGGTGAACTGGTTCGACCGGTTCACTAAGAAGATCCGGTTAAATACACACACTCACTCAGGCTGTGCAATCCTCATCTGGCATGACATAAATACATTATCAGTTGCCGTTTACACTGAATTCAATTTAAATTAGAATCATTCTCACACAAAACAACATGTTTAAATGCGACTGTGAGTGTGAGTGTGGCTGTGACATCCTTGGCGGCGCCCTGGCAATAAAAGGATCGGCTCGGAATCGGCAAGACGTGAGACTGACCAGCCGGTCACCGATCCGGGCCGGTCATGTGAAAAATCATCCGATTCTGATCACTGATCCGGCCGGTCAATCGGTGCATCTCTAATTATTATTAATTAAATGCAACATTTCAAGCATTGTGAATAAGGATCGACCGATATGTGTTTTCCAGGGCCGATACCGATTAATACAGATTATTACTCTCAGAGGGAGTCAGAGCAGTTCTGGAGATGTTGTTCACATATTTATTGTCCTAATGTAGTGAGACGACAGAAGCTGAAATCGGGCTTCAGACATTTAAATATACATAAGTACAAGTAAAACAATACATTTAGAGTTAGAAAAATACACACATATGTCTATGGAAGCAACAATAACAATCCATTCAAATTTAATTTGCCGATGTGTTTTATTCATATCAGATACATATAGTGTAAGTAACTATAAAGTTCACTCTATTCTTCACCCAGTTCACTGGCCACTTATTGCTTGTATTTACGTGCTTGTATTACGTGCTGTAAATCCGACTGACAGGACTCTCTGAACTGCGGCGCGAACAAACATGGCGGCGCCCTTATCACATTACAGATCACGATCAAGATCATTTAGAAAGGTTTTTAAACGACAAAACACACTCATTTACACATATTTCTGAATCGGAATATCAGATTGTTCATGACATGGTATGCAAGTTTGTGAATATTTTAAATAAAAAAGGAAAAACGAAATAAAAGCGATACATCTGTCATACAGTGTTATTTTGGCCGCGGTGTGTCATGTGACAAGCAAAAAAAAAACTCACTGTGGGGGGACCGCTAGAATATTTTAAACTCGCCACTGAAAAGGTTAAAAAACTAAAAGATTCTATCTACACAGTCGAATAGAATGCAAAAATATCTCAAAACTACTCGGAATGCAGATAGAACCTTATAATTCCAAGGGGACGATATATATATATATATATATATA